AACAAATGGACCTAATAGAATTGTACCAATTGTTCCACCCAACAACATCTGAATATACATTCTCAGCTACACAAGGGTCATTCTCTATAATAGATCATATACTACTTCACAGAACATGCTTAAGTAAATGTAAAGAAATTGAAACAATCCCATGCATATTATCTGACTATAGCAAAATAAAATTGGAAATCAAAAAATCATACAAGAACACCATAAACACATGGATTTTAAGTAACACTCTCCTAAACAACCAGTGGGTCACAGAAGAAATTAAACAATATCTAAATCAAGTGAAAATGCAAAAACAACTTACCAGAACCTGTGGGACACAATGAGAGCATTCCTCAGAGGAAAATTTATAGCAGTAAACTCCCATATCAGGAAAATGGAACAAACATAACTTAATGCATTTTAAACTTCTAGAAAAAAGAAGAGCAAGTCAAGCCCAAAGCCCAAAACGAGAAAATTATAAGGACCAGAGCAGAAATTAATGCAATTGAAACTAAAGAAAACAGTACAAAGAATTAACTGAAGAGTTGGTTTTTTTAAAGAATAAATCACTGAATACATCATAGGCAACATTATGAAAAAGAGGAAATAAAACCTCAAATCCATGCAATAAGAAATGAAAAGAGTGAAATTATTGCAGATACTGTGGAAATACAGAATCAATACCTACTTTGAAAACCTTTGCTCTCATAAGTTCACTAACACAGAAGAAATGGGCAGATTCCTTGAAACATATGAATTAACAGAGCTTGATCAAGATGTAAAACTGCTGAATAACACAATTACAGTTAATGAAATTGAAAATATAATTAGAAACTTACCAACAAAGAAAAGCCCAGGTCCTGATGGATTCACTGCTGAATTCTACAATGAATTGAAAGGGAAGCAAGTCTCTCTCACTCATTCCTGGAAGCAAGCATTGCCCTAATACCAAAACTAGAGAAAAACCCAATCCAAAAGGAGAATTGTAGACAAGTATCACTAATGAACATTGATGCAAAGATTCTCAGTAAAATACTGGCAGATAGAATGCAGCAAATCATCAAGATTAAACATCATGACCAAGTAGGATTTATTCCAGGAATGTAGGGATGGTTTAACATATGCAAATAAATAAATGTAATGCACCACATCAACAGAGCCAAAGACAAAAACCACATGATCATCTCAATAGATATAGGAAAGCTTACGACAAAAATCCAACACTCATTCATGAGAAAAAAACACTACAGAAAATCTTTATATATGGTCTTTCCCTCAATCTGATAAAAGCCATATAAGATAAACCAACAGCCAACATCTTACTAAAATGAACATAAACTAAAAACTTTCAAAATTAGGAACAAAACAAGGATGTCCATTATCACTACTCCTATTCAATATAGTTCTGGAAATAGCCAGAGCAATTAGACAAGAGAGAGAACTAAAAGGAATAAGAATAGGAAAGAGAAAAGTTAAAATGATCATTATTAGCAGATGATATTGTACTCTACAGAGAACACCCCCAAAACTTCATTGAAAGACTTTTAGATGTAATAACCACATCCAATAATGTAGCTGGATATAAAATCAACACTCAAAAATTGAAAATTATTCCTGTTCACAAACAGCAAATTCACTGATAGAGAAATAAGAGAAACGACCCTCTTCACTATAGCATCCAAAAAAATTGAAATACTTAGGAATCAATCTGACAAAGGAAGTAAAAGATCTGTACATTGAAAATTATATTACTCTGAAAAAAGAAGCCAATGAGGATTTCAGAAAATGGTAAGACATTCCCTATTCATGGATAGGAAGAACAAACATTGTGAAAATGACCATTCTCCCAAAATTGTTATGCTGATTTAATGCAATTCAAATCAAAATACCATTTTCATACCTCACAGATGTAGAGATATCATTCATAAAATTCATCTGGAACCAGAAGAGACTTAGAATAGCAAAGCAAGTTCTGGGGAACAGAGGCAACACAACCCCAACTAGAAATTATACTACAAAGCTAAGGTAATAAAATCAGCATGGTCCTGGAATAAAAACAGATCTGAAGATCAATGGAATAGATTGTAAGATACAACTACAAACACATCAGCCACCTCATCTTTCATCTTAAACATGTCCACTGGAAAAATAGAGCCTCTTTAGTAAGTGGTACTGGAAAAACTGGCTTTCCATATGCCAAAAACTAAAGCTAAAATGGATCAAAGTTCTAAATATTAAAACAGAAATGCTAAATCTTCTGGAAGACAAAGTAGATAGAAATCTTGATGACAAAGGGGTAGGCAGAGAGTTCATGAACAAAAATCAAACTGCATGGGAAATACTTCACAGAATCATCAACTGGGATCTTGTCTTATTACAAAAGGTTTTTGCATGTCAAAAGAAATCTCTAACAGAAGGAATAGAAAATCCACAAATTAGGAAAATAGCCAATTGTCCCTCAGACAGAGGAATTCTAACTAGAACATACAAAGAATTTTAAAAATTCGGGCTTCCAAAATTTAAAGGCCCAATCCAAAAATGAGCATCTGAGATGAATACACCCTTCTCAAATGAAGAAATACAAATGGAAAATAAATATATGAAAAAAGTGTTCAGCATCATTGGCCATTCAAATAACTCAAATTAAAACAACATTGAGATTCCATCTAACTCCAAAAGAATTGCCAAGATCAAGAAATCAACTAATAACAAATTCTGGAGGGGCTGTGCAGAAAAAGGAACTCTTCTCCTTTGTTGGTGGAAGTGTAGGCTGGTACAACCAATGTGGAGGTCAGTCTGGAGACTCCTTAAAAAGCTAGGATTAGAGTTTCCATTTGACCCAGCTATCCCACTTCTGGACATTTTCCCAGAAGAATTAAAAACATCATACCACAGTGATATATATGCACTTAGTTTATAGCAGCATAATTTTTAACAGCCAAATCTTGGAAACAACCTAATTGCCCATCAGTTGAGGATAAAAAAGGTGTGATACTTTTTAAAGACTCTTATAAGTAAATGAATGCAACTTGAGACCATTCTCATAAGTGAAATAAATCAAACTCACATGTGTAAATACTGTATTGTTTCCTTAGTGTAAAAAACTGAAAGAGCAAATATGGTTCAAAGTCTAAAATAAATATTATGTAAAAGTAAGAAACTACTCAAAGAGAAAAGTAACTGGGATGAGGGAAAGGAGAAAAGGAAGGGAAAAGGAAAATATATATATGTATACACTACTAATTGTATTAGTTCCTGGAAAAGAACAGTTAATACTCATATGATGACATTAATTTTACATGTCAATATGTGGTAATCTAATCAGCCCATTTAAAGGTAACTATGCAATACTGCAAGCATTGTTAAACTCTTAACATCTTATTTTGAAAACATATACCATTATTATTTGGGGTTTGTTGTTGTTTGTATCTCTTACTTTTTGTTTTTCTTTTCCATGAGTTTTTCCTCTTAAATGAAAAAATTCTATTTAAAAAAAAACCCTAATATTGGTGATCCTATTTGACCCAGCTATTCCTCTTCTGAGTATCTTCCCAGAAGAGTTAAAAACAGTGATATATGTGCACTCATGTTTATAGCTGCACAATTTTTAAAAGCTAGATCTTGGAATCAACCCAAATGCCCATCAACTAATGAATGGATAAAAAAGATGTGGCCTTTTTATACAAATGAGTACTACTTAGCCATAAAGAAGCACAAAATGGAGATTTATAGGTAAATGGATGTACCTCAAGACCATACTCATAAGTAAAATAAACCAGACACACATGCATAAATATATTGTCTCCATAGTGTGAGAAACTAAAAGAGTAAATAGGACCCAAAATGTATAATAGATATTGTAAAATAGGAAGAAACTTCAAAAGAAAAGAGAAACTTGGCTGGGAGAATGGAGAAACAAAGGAAGGGAGGAAAAGAAAAAGAAATATTGCTAATATAGTACAGTTAGCTATAGTAATAGGCTTAATATAAATTTGCATGTCCATGTGTGTGTGATAGTTAAAATGGCTATACTACTATTTCTTAGTTCATTGGAAAGAAAGTTTTGACAAAGATTTGTTTTAGTATTGTTTGAACAATTAAATGCCAATATGTTGTACTCTGAGTAATTAATTTAAAGATAACACAATGTATTAACCATTGTTACCCTCCTGTTATCTTGTTTTGAAATTTTATTTTTTGTCTTTAAAATAAAAATAGAATACAATAAACCTAGAGTTATTATATGACTTAGCAATTTCATTCCCAGGAATTTAAGAGAATTGAAAACAAAGATCCACATAAGAATTGGTACATGAATCTTCATGGTAGCATTATTCATAGTGGACAAAATATAAATAGCCCAAAATATCATTTGATGAATGCAAGTACAAAATGTGGTATAAATATAAAAAGAATTTAACTGAGGCATAAAAAGAAATAATACACTGATACGTGCTGCAACATTGATGGTGCATGAAATCATAGTACGTAAAAGAGACCAGAAATGAAAAGCTACCTAATTTATGATTCTGTTTTTGCAGAATATCCAGAATCAGCAAATCCATAAAGAAATAAAGTAGACTAGTAGTTGCCTAGGGCTGGCTGACCTGGAGAAAACTAGCTCTGACTGCTAACAGGAATGGAGTGTCTTTTTGGATTGATGAATGTCACAAAATAAAGCTATTAGATGCAGAAATTTGTGTTATACTGAAGCTTCCTCAATTGTGTGCACTACTAATGAACAAATGGATAGTTGATATTCATTTTCTGTTTCTATGAAGAGTGCCATTTAAATTTTGATGGTGATTGCATTAAATCTCATATATTAATTTGGGTAGTGTAGTCCTTTTACTAATACCAATACTTCTGATTCGTAAACAGAGGATTATCTTTGTTTAGTTGTATCTTTTTCAATTTCATTATCAATGTTTTATACTATCATAATAGAGATATTTCACCTGTTTAAATTATTCCTATGTAATTTTTCATATTATTGTAATTGTTTGTAGAAATAGAGTCAATGGAACATGACAGTGGCCAATTAAATGATCTTCAAAAACAAAAGAATGAATTGATAGAAAAATTACTTACTCTCCAAAGAGAACTCAAAGGTATATTTTCATGACTAAGCTTATTTTGCTAACAAATAGATACATTTGCTAACAAATGATAGGGTTAAATAATCTTTAATATGTATTTACTTATTGATAGATTGTGCCATTATTGATATAAAAATAGTTTTAAAGGTGGCGTTCCTGTTGTCACAAATTTTGTGAAGATCTTTTATCATTCTTATAATTGTGATATTAAAGTAGATTACAACAGGTATAATATCCTTGCTAATGTAGTACAGTTAGCTATAGTAATAGGCTTAAGCACAGCCTAGCCACTGACAAACAGTGGTAGTGGTAAGTATTAACTTGATACCTTTTACCATAGGAGCAGTTGCTACAGTTACACAACAAAATCCAACATCCGCCAGAAACTTGTATGCAATGAGTTGCCCCTCAGTGGAGTGATTTTACCCTGTGGGGGATACTGTAAAGTACTAGGTGAAAAGATGGAGAGATGAGTGAGGACAGAGACGGTAGGAGCAAGGTGGAGGGCAGAGGATAATCACTCAACTTTTGAGAAACTAGAGAAAAACACAAGAGAAAAAGAATGAAAGGAAGCTGAAAAATATTGAAGTGAGCCAGAAAGAGAAGAAACAATGTTTACTCATGTGAAAATATCATAAATTCAAGAGAGATAGTTGAGTAAGAGAAAAAGGAGATGAAGAGAAGTGAACAAAAAGGTGAGAAACCTGAATATTGAATAAAGAAAACAAAACAAAAATCCTATCAGACAGAAAAGGGAAAACCAATGAAAGAAAGAAAAAGAAAAATATGAACATTCCTCTGGTGTCCACAGTTCTGTGGCAGTGTTCAGTTCTCACCCCATAAGTGTTTTGTGTAATCCTGCCAAGTTTGAACTAGGATTTGTGTTGAGTATGGGACAGATCTTGACCTCTGGATACAGGAGTAGGGACTGACTTTAAGCTGACGATTTTCTGGATGTCCACTTCTTAGCGTGATTGTCTCTGTGGCACTCCCAGTTGCTGTCACACACTTGTATAGGGAAAGCCTGGGGTTGCTCCCAGACCTGTGTATAGTGGCTCCTTCTGGATCTTGTACAACTCCCTCTTCCTTTTACTGACTCCTCTTACACACTGGTCACTGTGTGGGAGGAGTGCCTTTTTCTTGCTGCAGGCCAAGGCTGCTTGCCTGCTTGTGCTGCTGGGTCAAGACTTCTCTACTGACCGCAGACCGGGGTCATCTCCAGTCCTTTGTATTTAGAGCTAAAACTGGCTTTTGGTGGCCACCAGAGCAGAGTCTAGGTTGTTCCATTGACCCAGCTATTTCCCTGCAGGGCAAACGAGGAAGAGTTTAAAACATCAAACTATAGCAGTGTATGTGCATGCATGTTTATAGCAGCACAGTTTGTAGTAGCTGTAGGAAACAACCCAAATGTCCATCAGTTGAAGTGTGGATTAAAAAAAGATGTGTGACATTTTTTAATACATAGTGGAGTGCTACTCAGCTATAAAAAAGGACAAACTGGAGCCTTTTCTAGGCAAATGAATTGCACTCTGAGACCATACTCTTAAATGAAATAAATGGGACACATATGTATATATATTGCATTGTTTCCCTTGCATGAGAAACCAAAAAAGTAAATAAGGACCAAAATATACAATAGATATTGTGAAATAGAAAGAAATTGTTCAAAAGGAAAGAGAAACCAGGGAAGGAGAAGATAAAAAGGAAAACAAAAGGGAAAAATGATAAACCTTTATAAATAAGGAGGGGATGAGGCATTGAAGGAAGGGGCAAGGGTTGGTGAAAAAAGAGGAGACAAGATACATCATACATAGGTATAAATTCTCTATGTTGAATATGACCACTGTGTATATCTACAGTATACCAATAAACTTAATTTTAAAAATTAGAAAATAATTATCACTATATATATTTGATATACAGCACCAACAAAATATGTGTTTCAGGTTAGTGAATAAAGATAACCTTTTAAAAATATGAAATTTTCTTGTTTAGCTCTTAAGGATGAAGAAAAAGAAGCAATTGTTACAACCAAATATTTAGAGGCAGAAAGAATAAAAATCATTGAAAAACCTCAAAATGATGCTGAATGCTTAAGGTAAGAATTATCTATTTTAATTTCCTATTAATGGTGATAAGTTTTAAAGTTAGATTTCAACATAAAGATAAGTGTATATGTTTTTTAAAAGTTCCACATAATGGCATTATTTTCTCTGCATATATTCTAAAATTTGTAGCTAAGCAAAAACTTTACTAGCTAGCAAGTGCTACATGTAAGTTCATGATGCATTAGATTGATGATGATGAAATCAGTTTTATCTTTTGTTATACCTTATAGATTTTTACTTGTATTCTAATCACTAAACCAACTCTATTCCTAACTTTTGAGGGAAAATAGTTGAAATTAAATTTACTCTTTCTAGATTCTAAGGAGAAAATCACATTCTGTTTTACTTGAAATTGTTACCTAAGGAATGGAAATGCGTTTTCTGTGTGGGATATTTAGATACTTTTTATAAATCTGGGTAATAGAATGATGGCAGATGTTTGAAATTACATTCATAAACACAAAGAGAAAATACCTCAAGTTTTCAAATTTGGCTATTACTTATTGAGGATTCAGGATTGTAATTTTTGGATTCTAAGTTTTAAAGAAATTCCTACACTTTCCAGGTGTAACATAAGAGAAGAATCTCATTATTGAATCCGTGATGAAGTAAATGAAGTCTTTCACATAAATCATATAGGAAAACATCCACTAGACCTGAACAAATGCTTCATATTAGCAGTGTATTGCCTTAGGCTGTAATTTTAGTAGATAGTGAGGAAATATTTGCAATTTAATTTTATGTCAAGTTTTATAAGCATAAAATATCAATCTCTTGAGTGATGTGTATAGTGAAGAATGCATTTCTGTAATGGCTAACTGCTCATTGATTTCTTTACAATTTGAAAAATGGTAATGCACACTGGTATCATTACACTTAGTAGTGTGAGGGCTTCCAATATGAACTCATTTTGTGGGTTTATCACTTAGTTATAAAAGTTTTCCCTGAGTTAAAATTAAATACACAAAGTCTGCTAAACAGTGCTTTTTACTTCACAAATGATGACAGAAGAAATTATATAGAAACATCAATCCATTTATCTAATCCATTCATTGCTTTTTAGCAGTTATGAATGAGATACAGGTTTATCAGTTCTTTACATCCTTTAATATGTGTAGTTTCCTGATTAATATGTTTCATAAACATAGAAAATAAAGGTTTAGTAGCTCTCTTGTGAGGAAACAATGCTCCTCCTTGGATGTCGTAAAGCACAGATAGTACTGAAGTTTGTGTATACTATATTTTCCCTAAACATTCATTCATGTGATGAAGATTAATTTATATTAGCTACAATAAGAGATTAGCAATAATAATAAAAAATAAAACAAGTAAATAATATACTGTAATAAAAGTTATTTAAACTTAGAAATCATTTATTTCTGGAATTTTCCTTTAAATATTTTCAGACTGTGGTTGACCTTGAGTAACTGAGATTATAGGTAAATGAAGCTTCAGAAGTGAAACTGTGAAGCTATTTACAAGGAAAGATAGACAGACATAGATAGATAGTTGTAAATGCTTTTAAAATTATTATAGTCAATATTTTAAAAATTAACCTGTTATGTTCTGGTTATTTGTTGGCCTCTTACTTATACGTCATCCTTTAGTGTAGAGAACCAGTCTTGGTATTTTATATTTACAGTTTTTTAGTGGTCCCTTCTTTGGTTAATATTGACTTATTTGTAAATGTCAAAATGTAGATTTATTTAAAAGATTCTATTGTGAAAAAGGTAGATCACATTAAAGCCACTAATATAGAGAATATTTCTATGATTAACACTTAACCACATTAGTTCTTCTGAAGCTCTAGAAGGGCTGTGTACCTATGACTGAGCTAGATTTTTAGAAAAAACAAATTTAGGGAGGAAAGAAGTGATAAATATCTGAGTCTTTACAGGCAGTAAAGTCTAGTGATTAAAATATAAATTCTTTTGAATCTTACACTATTACTTAGTAGTAGGTCAGTGACCATTGATAAGCAGTTTAACTTCTCTGTACCTCAGTTTCCACATCCATACAATGAGAGTAATTATAGTACATATCTTACATGATTATAGCATAAGATAATTTATTCATTGTATAAAACTTATTAGAGCAGTATTTGGTACACAGCAAATACTATAAAATTATTAGATATAACTACTTACAATTTTATTTTTATTTCATATGTCTAGGAGGATTTCCTATCTTTTGAGCTTGTCATTTGTCCTTCTTCCCCTCCTTCCAATGTTGAGGCTTCGCAAATATTTATTATTGGTACTATTTTCACTTTATGCTTTCCAAGAAGTATCTTACTTGGTTCTGTAATTTATAGTCATCCATATATGATTTATAAATCATCATTCTAAGTCTCCTTTTATTTTTTAAAAATAATTTCTCTTTTTGTTTTCTTTTTTCTCTTTGTTTGTGTATTTGTTTGCACATTGTTTTACTTGACACAGGTCTCCTAACTTTCCCCAGACTGGTTTTGAACTCCTGAGTAAGTGATCCTCTTTACTAAACTACTGAGTAGCTAGGATTGCAATCTTCTGCTGCACCCAGCTTGGAACCCTTTCTTAAGCTCCCTTCCTGAATTCCCAGAAGTCTAATGTATAAATAGAAATGAATATGTAGTGATGCTGCCCCGATTAGACAAACAGATGAATAAGAACAAACTTTTATTGATAGGTCAGGGGCCTTCATCGTCTATGCCTAGCCACTGTCTTCCTGCTGCATACACTATTATACCTCTGTATCAGAGAGTGTCCTTCACTCTTTCTTTCCCATTAGATAAAATTCAATTCAGTCTTCAAGATCCAGCCTATGTGCTATTTTTTCTAGGTATTTAAGTACAAAATGCAAACATTTTTTACATATTCACAAATCTCACCATTTTCCCCCTACTCTAATCTATCGCTACATTTTGTTACTCTTACCTAAAAAAAATTCTTGACTCACACTTCTCTTTGTCCATTAGTTCTATCCAGGTTGTAGCCACCATTTTCGCTCACTTAGATCTTAGTATCAGTTTGTTTTCTACTCTCCTTTCATGCATTCTTTTAACCTACAATCCATAATAAATTGTGCCATGCTATTCCTGTTACTAAAGTCATTTAATGATTTTGAATAAAAATAATAAAACCTAATTCCTTAACATGACCTCCAGGACTCTTCAAATATGGATGTAACTACTGTCCCCACTAACTTCAACCATGAATTAGTTCCTTCTCACTCTGCTTCTTCAAGGCCCCCTTCCATTTTGTTTTACAACTAAAGATATTTGTATTTGCTCTTCCTTCTACTGAAATTCTTCTCTGCATTCTTCCTGTCTGTCTACCATTTGGTAGTTCATACCTCATCCTAACCTCTGAGTTGAAATATTTTCTCAGAGAAGCCCCCTTATCCTATAATCTAAGTCGTGCAACCTTTGCTACTTTCCCTAATAGTGTTCCGTACTTTTTCCCTTTATAGCACGTCCCATTTTACTATTATATATTTATGAACTTACTACTGTTTAAGTAATGTCTAATTGTTTGGTAGAGATGGGCATACAAGAGGTGAGGAATAAATAGGAATAAATGAAGGGAATTATGAAAGCTTTCTTCTATTTTGTTTTCTGTATTCACAGAAATCTTGTTTATAATTCTGTTATATTACTAGCCATAGTCGATGATATTTGTCTGTATCAGTCTATCTCCCAGAATGGGAACTCAATCTACATTTTGTTTATCTTTCAGCATCATCTACATGTAGCACAGTCAGAAGAACATGGTGTTCATTAAATACCAATTCCACTGATTTAGTTGGCATATAATTGAATTTTTACTACAAATAAGATAAATTTCTCATTTGGTGGTTTCATAATGACTTGAAAAAAAACTATGGTATAGCATCACTTTAGCATGGAATTCTTTTCACTCTTGATTTTTTCTTCTTTGTGGAAAAAGGCTTATTTTTGTAACTTTCCTGGTTTTTTCCCTAGCTCCCCCTAATAATTTAGGGGGGATAAACTTGGTAGTATGGAGCCCATACTACCTATCATTTTTGGAGCTGGGCCTGCCTCAGAAAGATGTGTTTTGCTCAGTTCCTGTACCCACTAGGTTTTATAATTTATAGTCATCCATATATGATAGGTAGTAGGACTCTGTGAGAGAAGGTTTATGGGGCCCAGAACTGCCTTTAATAGTACTAAATTACTCTAATTCTGGGGTTCAGTGTTGGAAAACCTTTGCCTGCAGTATAACACTTATTCTCTAGAATATGCTGTATCCAAATTACCTGAGATATTTTGCTTCATTTCATAAACTTTTATATTTTGCTTTATTTTGTAAACTTGAGGCAAGAAAGAATTATATCTTGGGGTCTTTCAACTCCCAGAATCTATTTTTTTTGTTTTACTTAATACCAGGGTTACCAAAATATAATCGATAGTGATTTTTAAAAATTTATTCAAAATAGTAACATTACAGACAACTTTAAATGTTTTAGGTTATTTTCTTTACGTACAAAACTCCTTTCTTGAGTTTTTTAACATGTTGTATAACCAGCATTTGTGCTTTTTAATACAACAAGAAGCATGTTTCAGAAATAAATCTGCAAAGTCAGTGGCATAAGATTTTCATTCTGAGCACTTAAAAGATAGTGTAGTTTCTGTGAAGAGCATATTTGCAATAGAAACTGCACAAAATTAGTCTGCATCTGTCACTGAGAGACTAAATTCATTTATAGTGGTAGTAAAGCAGTGCTGTTGCCTCTTCAGCGAAAAAGTCATCCCATTAAGTTGGTCATTGAAGTCCTATTGATGATACTTAGGTTAACAAGAAGGCATAAATACATGATATTAAGATACTCTCAACCTCTTGAAGAGGTAACTAATATATATATATATATATATATATATATATTCCTTTTAATATCTATATATATACACACACTTATTTTTAAATTGTGAGGACAGGCTATATTGTGTAAAAAATTCAAACTATCAAAATGTAAAATATCTATCTTCTCA